TTCCATTGATGTCCTTTTGAAATTTTTCAGGGTTATAGGATCTAATTAGGAACAGTTAGTTCCCTTTTTGAGATCCGAGAATAATTGTGAATTATGACTAAAAAATTTCGCGATATTATCATTGGTTTTTAAGTTAGGATTACAATAAATTTTCTTGAACACAGTTGCTACATATACTTCATAATTTTTAGTTTTTATCTTGATATGAATCATTTTATTATTCCAGCATTTAAAATGGAGCATTTTTCGATGCTAAATCGGATTCTTGTTGGCCAACAAAACATCGAGGCAATGCTGACAGACGTTAAACGTCAAACAGGCGCCCCATCTAGAGAGCCACTGCCAGAGGGAGCGCCTCAGTTGCCCCTAAAAACTGAGGCAGAAATATTTGGACTTGAGAAAATGAACAGATCCTCCCTCGTAAGTAAATAATTTACCTTACACTGTAAGTTTAATTTGTATAGAGAATTTGCATTTTCTACAAGAGTAAATATGCAATTTTTTGTAACATTTAATATGTATTTTTATAGGGTCAGTTAAAAGTAAAGGTTAAATAATTTTTTTATTTTTTTTCTTCAAAAAAAGAAATTAGAAATTTATTTTAATGAACCATTTGAGTAATTATATATATATATATATATTAGATCCTTATAGAAGTACAGTAAAACCTCGCTGCAACAATATTTTGCGGACCAAATAAGAATATTGTTGTAGAGGGATATATTGTTATATCAAGGGCCCACATAATTCTGGGACGCAATAAGATTTTTTGAAATTTAATGTTATATATTCATTAACTATAAATATATTTACATATTATCGAAAAAATTAACTTGCAAAGTGTTTATTACGGTTAAGCGTTAAAAACAATGGATATGTTAATGATATACGTGATATATTAATGAATTTTTTAACGTTAAAAATAAGTACTATCTCGCTTGGCTTGTCATCTTCTATAGTCTTATCTTGTGGAATTCAGGTTGCAAAAATCCTAAGACTACCTTTTAAGTGAATATATTGAAGCCGCAAACTAAATGTAAATAATTCCAGCTTGACATCGTTTTAATAGTGGTTGCCATGAAAATGCAGATGTATATAACTGAAAACTTAAAGTTTGTTAAATTTTCACTTAATTCTTAATTTGTATTCTGAAAAGTCTAAAATAATTTTAATTATCCCAATGTTGCCAATTTTTATTTGCAGTATGCTAATGCAATTTTGCTAATTGAAAAGTATTAATTTTACACATTTCTAAATTTTTAAACATTTATAAATTTTTAAAATTTTAATTTCTTGAAAAAAAATTATTTGATTTAAATCAATGATTTTTTTAAAAAAAATATTAGTTGANAATGTAAATAATTCCAGCTTGACATCGTTTTAATAGTGGTTGCCATGAAAATGCAGATGTATATAACTGAAAACTTAAAGTTTGTTAAATTTTCACTTAATTCTTAATTTGCATTCTCAAAAGTCTAAAATAATTTTAAATATCCCAATGTTGCAAATTTTTATTTGCAGAATGCTAATGCAATTTTGCTAATTGAAAAGTATTAATTTTACACATTTCTAAATTTTTGAAATTTTAATTTCTTGAAAAAAAATTATTTGATTTAAATCAATGATTTTTTTATAAAAAATATTAGTTGATCTCGTCGGAGCAGAAATCTTGCAGCATGAAAGATTTATGACCTCCACATATCTGACTTAGCAGATNTATTTTTCAGGAGTCTAATAAAGTGAGTTGAATGAGTGATATGAATGAGTGATATGAGACTATTTTTTGTCCTTTTGAAATTTTCTCCTAAAATGTATTGTAAAGACTGCAAATAGGGATAATTTAATTAACATGTTCATAGATTTTTCTGAGATGCTCAATAACTAATCCAATTTTTGGTAGCAAACTTTTTTTGTTGGCCTTACGTTTCCAAATTTTGCCTTGTCTATGTCAGTCTGTCTATTGAAAGAACTCTCCTTACTATCCATCTGTTGCAGTGACTATTTACGAGATTTAATTATTTCGTGTAGAGGTGTGAGGTTACTGCTTGAGACAAGTTTTGACTTTGTCCAGCTAGAGAATGGGAATTAAGGAAGAGAATCCATCTTCTTTGCTGTCCTCTTTAAAAGAAAATAATAAATTTTATTTCCATATCAGTAGTTAGCTTTTGAATTTGTGACAAGGTCAGCTCTTTCTATAGACAAACTATGGTTAATTTTTTCTGAAATATTCAAAAACTAATCTAATTTTTGTTACAATATTTCTACTACAATAATAGTCTGTAAAATATATTTGTCAATCTTTATTTCAGATGAGTCATTTGGCCTTGATTGGCGGCAAAGACGTCGAGAAAGCCACACGGAATTTAATGGGGCGCATCTTCTCAAAAGATGTTGCCCCGTTATTAAATTGGGCTGGGAGAGGAGGGAAGATGGCTTTTTCCACCCTCCTGATTAAGGATGTTGTTGTTGGTAAGTTCCACTTATGATATTATGTATTGACTTTATATTATAGCTTCGAAAATAGTTGTTGGGGGCTTATTTTGTTTTTATTTAATTTATAAAAGATAATTTTGATAATTCATTATATCTAGATGTATATTCAGATTTTAATAGACTATCTCATTTTATGAAGGCTCTTCCGTGTTGTTTTTTTTACATGACATGGAAAATTTGTCAAATTGTCGTCATCTAGGAAAAGTTCTTTTTTTTCCATTGGAACACGTTAAATATTCAATCATGTACAACATTTGGATTATATAGTACTATATTTACTAATACTAATGAATAAAAATCTAACAAAAATAATTGAAACTATTCATTGGTTTTTCAACAAGGTACTCTTAGTATTTAGAGAACAATACTATTTTAACTTCTTAGTTTATATTGCTGGTAAGTCTGTACTCTTTTATGCCACAATTGAGACAGATTTGTTTGATTAAGTAAAACTAAAACTGTCACCTCATATAATAGTATTTTTTATTCAAGGTTAGGGAGAAATTCTGGCAGCCCTTAGAAGATTTTTGATCTAAA